TTTTCACCTACACCAACCCCAATGATACAAATTATCAGTCATGAACAGAATAGTTTGTACTTCGACCAATAAGTAAATGACCATCAGTTATTTATCAGTGTTTCTGTACCGAAATGCATTCTAGTTTTTTTCCAAGCACTATATGTTACAATAACCTAACAGTTTATTGTTCTTATGCATTATGAGATGATGAATTTAAGTCGGCAAATATAAACAATGTTCAATTTTGTCACTGATCTTCATATATGCGCTTATGAAAAGTTTTGAACATAGATCTAGGTCATTTGCAAGCTACAGGATATAGACAACTTATTAGTAAATGGTATAAGTTTTCATCTGGCTATTACAATCTAATGACGTTTACTATTCAAATATATAAGTCATTTCATTTTCAAGTATTTAACTGGTACCCCGACCGTAGCTGCTACCTTGACGTGGTGGGATGCAGTTCTCACCCTCGAAATGCGAAATGTTTCTTCAAGACTGGGTTGCATCGGCACCTGAACTAGTGATAGGGAGTGAAGCAGTCGAACGTGTAGACCGCTTCACTTATCTTGGGAGTCTCATCAGTGCCGGTGGCCTGGTGACTGACGAAATCTCAGCTCGGATACAGAAGGCTCGATTGGCTTTTGCCAACCTGCGTCACTTATGGCGTAGGCGTGATATCCGTTCTCTAATCAAAGGACGAGTGTACTGTGCAACAGTTCGCTCCGTCTTACTTTATGGCTGTGAAACATGGCCAGTAAGAGTAGAAGATGTTCGTAGGTTACTGGTTTTCGATCATAGGTGTCTTCGAAGCATTGCTCGTATATCGTGGGACAACCGAGTGAGCAATGCTGTCGTTAAGAAACGAGTACTAGGTAAGGATGGCAGATCAATAGGTGAAGTAATGAAACTCCATCAGTTGAGGAGGTTGGGACATGTGCTGCGTATGCCTAACCACCGACTGCCTCGTCGAGCTTTGTTTTGTGGTGTGGGAATAGGTTGGAAGAAAGTTAGGGGCGGACAGACCAAAACATGGCACAAATCCATGAAGTCATTGACAAGTGGACTGTGTAATGTCGGTAGGTGTCGACTAGCTGGTTGGGGTCCGCGAGATGATAATAATCGATGGTTAGAGACCTTGAATGACATGGCTCAAAATCGTTCGCAATGGCGCCGGTGCATTTATTCTTTGTGTTCTCTCAAATCCTAATCTTCTGGATTCTCTAGTTTTGACTTTCTAAACTTTTCTCACTGAATCATATTTCTTGAGTATCTTCTAATCCTAACCTCTCCGATTACTTCTAATACCTTGACTACCTATTCTACTATTGGATTTGAATTGACAATTATATCTATGTGCTGATGTGGTATGGCGAAATGAACTGACGTACTTACGTACGAAGTTCTACTTTGCATCTGACTGACTGACAGACTGATTTAACTGGTACACTTTAAACTTAATCCTTAATTCGACTAATATTTGTTCTTATAAAACACTAAGTCAAGGAATGTGTCGTATTTTAGAAACACTGGTCAGGCCCATCAAATGTTACAGTGTAATGAATAGTTATTTTGTGAAACTAGTATTTATCGAAAGTAGCAATTAAGCAACCTTGACTGGTACATATGACTTGATGTAACTAAGATATAAATATCAGTAGGAAAATACGACCGTACAGTGATGAAAATAAATGAAACAATAAAACTATAAATATTTTAGTCTCATCCGAATAAAAAATCAAATAGAACATTACAAACCAAGCTGAAATCAGTGATCATAAAATTTATCACTTAAATATATTTCAAATAGTTGATGTTGATGTAATTACAAGACAATTTTTTATGCGCAACATCATAACACTAATTTTCGCTGAAACATAAATCGGTTCATTACCACCATTAACTGATTTGATTATGTACGCTTTTAATTACATTTTTCGTAATATTACATTAAAATTGCGCAGTGTATATTATTCACTATCTAGATCGTTAAACGAATCTAACAACCGATACACTTCAATTTCTACCTTCAGTGACTATAAATTAAATACTCTTGCTTATATGAGATCGAAAATTGTTTTTATAAACGACTGGTACAATAACTATAAAAAGTTAATTGAGATGCAGCAGAGAAAGACATTAAACATATGCTAATGTAAACACCTTCCACGCTGAACCGTGAACATATACTTGAAAGAGGAGACGACGAGCAAGTAGGAAGCTCTCACCAATTAACCATACAGAATACATTTGCGTAACTTATTCATAAATATAGTGGCATTTCCCTTCAGAAAAGTGAACCAAATGCATAGGTATATTTCTCAAAACGTCAAATCAAATCTTAGCCAATAATGGACACCCAATAGCATTTCTCACTTATCATTCTGTTTATGACTGATCGGCCCATAGTAGCAAAACCAATTGAAAGGAATTTCAACTATTTCATACAAATACACTGATTAGATGACATTGAAATAAATAATATTCTGTTGAAGTTTTAATTTCAACAGTAGTGCACAACACAATCCAATCCAATTAGTATCAACACCAAATTATCCGAAGATTGCATACTGATGTAAAACCGCTTTCTAATAAACTACTAATTACTTGACAAACTTTTCAAAGGAGCTGATATAAAGGAAATTACCTAATACAGTTCTGCATAAGACGCTTATCTTTCAAACATATTTAGCTATGGAATAATGTTGGGTACGTTAGATCCCCAGAACTCACTTGATAAATGCCTTAATTTTGGATTTTATATTTCCGAGTATGGTCTGATCAGTTGACCTTCCGATTTCACTTCCCACCAGGAAAATCTTTGGCTGTGATTGGTTACTGTGTCATTTTAGTGTGCTATTTTTTATGACTGTCTCAAGGACGTTACTATGATGTATAAGTAAACGAGATTTACGTACCTGGAATCATTGTGCTTGCTAGGTGTTTGTAGAATACACTTTCTACCTCGACGCTAGTTCATTGTCTCGTTCTCGTTTATCGACTAAAGTGAACCCGTAATCGTTTCAAGCATACCTAATGATGATCTTAACAAGTAACTAACTATTTATATCCTTTTCAAAATTGTATTCATTTCTCTAGGTGACATTAAATAATTTAGAAAACTTATCAGAAACATATAAATAAAAAAAACCTATTAAAAAGCTTTTTTTATTCAATCAAATGACCATTTTTTTCCTAATGATTTTAAAAAAACAACGTTGATTCCAATCATTATATCCATTTGCACTAAACATTAACTTAAAAATGACTTTGATTAGAAGAATAACGTATTTATTTTGAATTTTATTATTTTTTTTTTATAATTTAAAAGCAAAAAGTTTAATTCACTTCTAAGGTCATTTAACGCTTTATTTTAGACGACTACTTTCTTTTATTTTTTTGTAAATATAAACACATATAAACATATTCTTGTGAAAACTGTTTTATTTTTCCGTTTTAAATGAACTCAAATTTTCGAGAGAGCAAAAAAGAAGGTGACCTGAAAAAAAATTATAATTATGTTTTTAAAAAATAAAGCAGTTAGTTATATTAGCAAAAAAAACTAAACTGGAAATGCGTTTACATATATGTTAAATTAAACTTTTCATCAATAATAATAATGATGATAATAATTTATTTTTAAAATAAATCGAAACTTACGGTAAAACTGTTGTTATTCATTGTGTTTTTCGTTAAACAAAAAAGAAAATTTGTTAGTTTTAACACACAGGACATATTAACTTTGCGAAAAAGAATTTCATTTTTAAGTTACAGGATACAATACATTTTTAGCATTTTAATATAAACAGCTTACTAGGAATATCTTAAAATCGAAAATCAAAAATGTGCTCACCAGTGACTAACACAGTGAGGCTCTCGGAGTTCTAGTGAGAAGACATGACCAGTGGGTTCAGCCTTGTCGGATATAGGCAGTAACTGTAGAAGACAATGAATGAGGTTGCACGAAATCCTCAGATTGATCTGAGTAAGACATTAACACCGTTAAATGCCAACTAAGGGGTTCGTGTGCAACAATTAAGGTCCTGGGTTCGAATCCTGCGAGTAGAAAGAGTAGTGGATGTGCACTGCTGATGAGTCGCAAGCAGGAAGGAAAGGCCTTCCAGTTCTTCGAAGTTTCTAATGGTGGTCTATCAATGATTCATTAATGATTTCCAGGTAAAACTACGATCTTCATTATACTCTAGTGGAAAATAAACAGAATACATTTGTCAATGTGTCGATTGTTGTTCCTATCGAAAGATTGTAATAGATAATTAATTATTCTTACTTTGAGCACACATTGCTTACATAATCAGACAAAGACATGGTGTATGTTGATTAAAACAATTTCTATAACTATCCAACGTCAAAGACAATGAAAGGTGTCATTCACACACATCGTGATTATAGTTTTTATTATTATTGAAAGGTTTTTATGCTTTCTGTTCAGGTTATGTTCTATCCCTTGTTGTAATGCGTCATGAATTGTAAACAACGTTTCAAACTCACTTTAAACTTGATCTTACAGCATTATTACTACATATTTACTGTACTTTAAAAAATGTAAGCTTTGCCATACAAATGTCATACTCCACTTGTTGTCCATAGGCAGTAACACTGCTACTATATTATTTTACAAAAGGCAGCCAATTCGATAAATACTTCATTTTGAGACTTAGTGTATCAGAACAAAAAGCTGATATATTCATGGATGGAACAATTACTCAGTTCTCACTGATTTTCAGTAGTCGTCTTCCATTTAATATGAGTCCGGAACTGTAAATTTGTCTTCATCAAAGTTTGATATTGTTACGTTCAAGTTTTAACAATATGACTGAATGTAAACCAGGTTCCTTAATCAGTTATTTTGACTAAGTAACCAAGAAAACTGTAAATACATAAGCAAAATTTTAAAAACTCAATATTGTTTTCAACACTGACTGCCAATACTCTGTTCTGCTTTAAAAATGTATAGTGTATTATTATGTTATTCACTTTTTAACAACTTTTTTTAGATTCAAAGAGGAACAAGTCAAATTACTGACTGTGGAAAACATTATGAAGATCATAGTAAACAATTGTCAAGATATATGATGTATATTAGTAAGAAATTAATCAGTTGGTTTAGTCAAACAAACACTAACAATGATATTAATAGGATAAATGAAAATTCACTCAATTATCATTCTAATAATAAAATATTATATGAAGATTTTATTACTCAAAGTGAATATGAAATGTACAATGGTAATAGTAATCATAATAATAACAACTCGACTCTTTCATGGACACTGAATAATGTGAATGTTCAAATACCTACTATAGAACAAGAAACATGGAATCATTTGGAACGTACCAGTTGGTTACCTTATTTAGATACCATTGATGATTATTTAAGAAAGGTAAGTAAATTAAAGTGTATCAATAATTTGAAAATAGTTTTTTAATTATCATATGATTACTCATAGTTATATTTACTCACTTGCTTAAGCCTGTTCCGCCTAATGGAACATAGGTCGCCGACCAATGAATTATTTTACTGGTTAGTGCTTTTTTTAAGCGAGTTAGATTTCTATGGGATGGGGTCACTAACCTCCATGCCCAACACTCTTCCTTTATCCGAGCCCGAGACGGGCAGTAACCGTAGAAGGGCTGCAGACAAAGTTTAACAGTTATATATCTTATACATAATTCATTTCTAATGATTAAGTAAACGTTCAAACTTCCATATATTTTAAGATAACGACGTTTTTACTGTACTTTCAAGTGTTTACAATACTTTTTTGGATCAATATATATTCAAGGTTTCATTTAAGGGGAAGAAAATATATTTTTCGCTATGTTATTTCCTATATAATTACTAGTAACTTAACGATTAACCTGTGTTAGATAAATTTGATTATTGATTCAACAAAAAAATAATTCGTTTATGAAAATTTTGTTAGATTCTAATAAACAGAAATCCCATATATTTATTCACCTTTATATATATATATTGATGATAATGGCCTGTAGTTTCCCAGGAGAAATAGTTTGTTATGCTGCTAGATTGACAGTTGACCTAGTGATGGAAAGTAAAAAAAATAATATTTCCAATGATAACTATAATTTTCAATGTTTCTTAAAATTTCATTAATCGAACCAGTCAAGCAACACTAATCATACTTTAAAAATACTAATGATTCTCACCTAGAATATTATAACTTCGTAAATGCTTGCAACATTTTTTTCCTTGTTTTATTGAAATTCCTAATAGTTTTAATCATATTTTCCTCATTTCATAGAGTGATGATAGTTGAAGTTCAATTGCTTAGGGTTGTTTTTGTCAGTGTCGACGGATATGAATGAGTGTACGTAGTTGTACAGATCAGATAGCTGATATAGTTTGAAGTAATTTACAATTACAGAAATCAACATATTAGCATCAAGATATTGTAGTGGTGTTTCGTTCTGGTTGTTTTGGTTGTGGAGCTTTCATTGTTCAGGTAAACAACATCATCAACACGAACTTCAGATAAAAGTGAAGTATTCGAATTTCTCCACGTTTGACCTGTAGCTTGTTCTGCTAACCTCGATCTTGATTAGTTGTTGTTGACCTTAAACCTGTCGTTGTTTGCGCCTTTGTTTTGATTGTTTCCCCCCTTTGATCTGTTTTTGGATCCTATATCACCTATGATTTTTCTGATTTGTTAATAAATTGGGTCAGTATCGATGTGTTTGTTGATTGCTGATTGACCTGAGTGCCAAGCTTCTATAAATTCTCAAGATATCCACTTCAAAAGTAATACGTTACGTATCATCTAGTTGCGGGATTCTCCTCGCAAATTATCAATTTAACAACAAGCATGAAGTACCATTAAAACCGGGTGACTAGCGGTATTTTAAGACATCCATTGACTTAAACAAATAAACTTCATTTCAGTAGTTAGAAGAATGAAATCTCAGCATAGTTATTTCTTTCATTGGAATCCAGAAAATTAATTTATGACTTCAAATCAGTTATTTGTTTGTTGAAATTTTAATCGTTAAAATGACTTTGTATGTATTGTATATAACATGTGGTGATCCATTTTACTAATGGAATACCTGGCAAGAGTTTATCTTTACAGATTAACAGAATAACCGACAAGTTTGCTTAGTTATTAAACATAGGTTGTATGCATTCTGCAAGTGTACTTCATGTTACTTCCCCTTTATTAACCATAAATTGCACAAAATTGTAAGTTATGAAGCTGTATAAACAATCCATAGAACTTTATTTGATTAAAATGTAATCTACAAAAGAATCAATCTTCTAAATAAACAACATATTTTTTCTCAGCAAAGAATTCATAATCTAAGTATTCATTCTTTAACGTTTCATATATAGACAAGAGATGACCTGGACACAAAAGTTATTGATTATTGGGCACCATATGATCAACTTTTAGTCAACCTTCTTACTAATCCATGGATTGCGCCAGCACATAGAGCATTAAATACTTCATGGTTACAAGAGAGGCGAATATCATTCATGGATCGAACTTATTTTGGGTTGGTATCAAGTGATTTTGACTCAGAAGATGAAAATCAATCGTCGAATGATTTATCCACTTTAAATGGTGCCAGAGAAACACAATCTTTAATGTTAGCAAATTTTATTGGTGTTCCACAGCCTGCACATGCACGTTTGGCTGGTACAAGAATTTGGAATAGGTAAGCCATTTTAGATAATATTGTTATGTTTATCCTAGTTAATTCCTCTGCTTACCTGGACATTGATGTTTAGTGATGAAGGGATAAGCTGGCAGAATACTCTACAACATTGATAATTTTCAGTTAGTTATGGAGATTAGTGTTTTAATGCATTTGAAATCATCGGTCAATCATTGGGTGAGGTCGCGCCAAATCCCTAGATCAACTAAAATTAGACAATAACACCGTTGGATGACGGCCCAGTGGTCCAATGGTTAGGCGTTCGCGTACAATACCGAAGTTACTGGGTTCGAGTTGCAAGAGTCATGGATTCGCATTGCTGATGAGTCCCATACCAGAACGAAACGGCCGTCTTTCAGTGCTTCCAGGTTTCTAATGGTGGTCTAATAATGATTGATTGATGATTTCTAATATGAAACGTTGATAATAAAAAAAGTATAAAAGTTTTGAAATTAGTAGTTACGTAATGTACAAACACTGATAATAAGTAAAAATAAAATAAACAAGGCTCAGTCGGTTGAAACAAAGTTAATAATCTAGAAGAAAGTCGAAATAAAAGAGGGTGATGATGTAATCAGCCTAGAGAAAGAATGGAACACATACTCATGTTGTATTCAAGAGATGTTCGTCACTAAGACGAAACAAAACTCATAAACATCTAACTCCTGATAGCAACGATTTAAGTAAACTTTAGAAGACTTGAGGTTTGCTATCCATTATTCACTTTACAGGATTACAAGTTATCGACCTAATATTTTGTGTCTAAGAGAGCTTTCGAAACCGCGCCTCCTAAAATAGTTCCTTTCTTGTAGAGCTTTTAGCAACGTCAGCAAATAATCTCAACTATCTCTTCCTTTCTATTCCGTCAATGTAGCTATTTTGTCAAGTACATATAAATTTAGAAAACACAGTTAATGGGATAACATGATAAGGTTACTTGTCAATCGTTGACTGCAAATTATTGAGCATGTTGTTTCGGACAAAATTAATAGAATTTATACTCTATCAAATAGCTGATACTTTTCTGTTCCCTAGAACTATGATTTCATCAACAGGATTATACTTAATAATCCATACAGTTGTATTAAAACAAAAATAATTAAATTGAATACTATGATTATTTTACACATATAAATGAAAATACGAGGAAATTTACTAAGTATGATATTAATGATATTTTCCTTCTACATGGGTCAATACTATAATCTCCTTTATTCTACCTTGACTTTTTTGCAAGATCTTTTGATTTCCGTTGAACCATATAAATCTAATGTATATATATATATATATATATATATATATACGAATGTGGGCGTGTTTTACAAACAATTCTACAGTAGATACTTCATTAATACCGAAATCAATAATTAGGTCGGCTTAATCATAAGCTGATAAAAATTAGTGTTGAAATTCACTTTGAACCCATTATTTTAAGGTTAGATATTTTTTTTATTATCTACATTAAAGATAATGAGTCAGAAGAAAACTTTCACTGATGCCTAGGATAAAGAAATTTGGTTATTTTCAAAAAACTATTCAAACTGATCCACTAGTTAACTAAACTTTACTTGTATTCCAAATATTCTAGAAGAGTGTGATCACTAGATATTTTCAAAAAAACTACAGATTTGCTATTAGTATGACTGATGTATTCAGTTAATAAATAGATGATTTGAGTCTATATGCAATTCTTAAGAATATTAATCAGTGTCTTGAAACAATGTTGACATAACATGTGGATGAATACATTAAACTAAATTGATACAAATCGATTTTACTCACATCGAAATGTGACAATAATAATTTCTGAATGCCGTTTCTAATAAAGTTTGATGAGGTCTGATCAATGACCTGTCAATCTGTCTCATATGAATAATTTTAATCCACTATAATGTTAACTTTTTTTAAGTTACATAGGTAAAAATGCATGCTTATTTACTATTGCTATCCAGGAGTCTCGAATATTGTGTTGGGGACGTTAGATCCCCATAACTCACTTGATAAGGCTCTTAAATTTCGATTTTTTGTGTTTTTGCGCAGAAGCTATTCACCTGACCTTGAGATTACATTCCCCACTCGGAAAAGTTTTGACTGTCATTGGGTGATGTATTATTTTAGTACGCTATTTTGTGGCTCTCTCAAGGACGTTTCTATCATGTATAAATAAGCTCGATTTGTATGCTCGTCGATCTCGTATTTTGGGTGCGTGTAGAATACCTTTTCTACGCCTTATCAAGACTTCTTGATATAGTTAATCGGGCAGGGACAACGAATTAGAATAGCTGGTCGTGCCACTACATCATTTCTCTTCGCTTTCGTTTACCGAGTATGGTGAACTCGTAGTAGTTTCAAATCTATCAGTTGACGAGTATATCATATTGTTACGTTTTTGACTTGACTAAAGCTATGAATGTTAACTAATGAATGTCATTCCATCGACCTAAAGGTTAGGCACTCCTTGAAAATTCATATGATTTTACGTTCTATCGTTAGAAGGATAGCAAGTATACATTCCTGACGAGTTTCATCATAAGCAGAAACTGTCTAAAACATCTGTTTTCCCAAAAATAACTGTGTTGAAAAAACATTCGAATGAATGAAACTGAAACAAATAGCTCACATAGTATGAAATAAAATATTTTTATGTCAGTCAGTCATTTATAATCAACATTTTGTCTGACTTATATATGTATCTCATCAACGTGCGATGTATCATATGAGAAGAGATTACTCAGGTAGAAAGCAGATACATGTGAACCAAGAACGCTAAATCAAATTATATAAAAAATACTAAAACCAGAAACCTAGAATTAAAATCTGTCACAATCAAAAACTGAGAATTACGAGAGGATGTAACACTCAAGATTCAGAAGATGATTAGAAAGTGTAGGAAACCTTATCATTACGACTAATTTTGGTTTATATCAAATTTGATCATCAAATGTCAATTGAAATTATTCCATGTAAGTCAATCAAGAAGTCTAATTCTCCATATACATAAATAATGACAGAATTCAATAAGTTAATAGACTAATGATTTGCTCACTTAGTTGGTCTTACCTTTATTCTCTTCTAACCTCTAGCCATTCACTAAAGTTTATTCGATAAGACGAAAATTTGATATCCATAGCACATTTTCAAAGACCTATCTGAGTCTACAGTCGCATAAATTGGACAACTTCATACAGTTCGTCCCACTTATGAACCGAAATCAATCTAGAATAACAATTGAGGCAGAATAATATGGATTCATTATACGTCTTAGTTTATCATCAGCTGATTACAATCATACATGTAATAAAGTGTAACAGTGATGCATGATATAACATTAATAACGGAAGGAATTAAGTAAAAGATTAATAACTATATAAATAAATATATATATATATATATATATATATATATATATATATATATATATGAGCAGGATCGAGGTCAAATAAAGTTAGAGTTCAAATATAAAACATGAAGTGGGATGATACAGTAATTAAACGACGTCCGGAAACATATGTATATATAAGTTATGTACAGTTCGCACAAGTTTTAGATGAGTTGTTTAGAACTAGCATTTGGAAGGTTGCGAAACGAATGAATGAAAAGATGATTTCTGGAGTAAATTAAAAAATACGAATCAGTTTCGTGAAGATTGGTTAGCAAAATAAACATACACAATAATAATAAAAAAATTACTAAGGTAGCAATAAGTTGTTCACCATCTCTTTTTGGATAAATGAGGTTGAAGATTTTTGATTGCTACCTGAAGAGACGTTGCATTTTTCTGTCTGTTAATGATTTCAAAAGATTGGGAGGTGTCAACGATGTATACAGCATAAATTAAAACCCCGGACTATTGCACTATTTAGAGTATTTACACTTTTCAGTTTCAAATTCTTAGGAATGTGTTCGGAATCGAGAGTATGCACTGTTCTCTCTGTTTTTCCGATGTATGTGCCAAAGCACATACATGAAACTTGTAAATGAAGTCGAAGGTACCGAGAAAAAAGGATTCGTCGATTCTGGATTGTATGAGTGAGCTGAAGTCTTGCTGCTAGGTGTACAATCTTCAAAGCGGTGTTTATCTTATGATTACTACTTCCAGTAACTTCATCCCCTCTAAAAGGGCAGACAGAAGAAACGTGTTTTTGTTGGGAACGTTAGATCCCCAGGACTCACTTGGAAAGGTCCTCATTTTGTAATTTCATTCTGAAATTTCGAATTTCTATGTTTTCTCGCCAAGAGACGCTTAGTTGACCTACAGCTTACATTTTTCACTCCAAAATCCTTGTTTTTCAATGGTTGATGGATTGTTTTATTACGCTATTTTGTTGTTCTCCCAAGGATGTTTCTATCATTGCACAAATAAGCTGACTTGTGTGCTTATTGACCTAGTATTTCTGTGTACTTGTAGAATACACTTCTACTCCTTATCAAGACTTCTTGCTCTAGCTAGTAGGATCGAAGACAATCGGATTAGAATAGCCGATCGTGTCACTGCATCATTTCTCTTCGCTCTTGTTTATCGAGAAGGTGAACTCGTAATAATTTCGAGCATATCAATTTTTGTTTTGCACTGTATCATATTTGACAGGTCAGTTAGCATTTGGCATACTTCCCAGTCCGTATGCATTTTCACTTATACAGGTTGTCATGAAAATAACTTCATCATACAAGCTTCCTTTAGAGCGAAGTTTTTCATTTGAACTCTAACTTTATTTGCCCTTAAGCTTGTTAACATACAAATATGTAGATACATAGTTATTATTATTATTATTAATCTTTGCTAATATAATCCCTTTCATTGTTAATGTCGATTACTTCGCGTAATATGATGGATGCATCATTGTTACACTTTATTACATGTATGAGATTGTAAACAACTAATGAAAGAAACCATGAAGTGTAATGAATTCGCATTATTCTGCCTCAATTATTATTCTAGATTTATTTACAGTAAATGACTATTTCTCGAGCTCAACCATTCTAGCCTACGTTATCAATGCATAATGAACAAATATTTACTAATCATCCATGTAAAATAATGATGACCGAAGAAGACTGTAATAGACTGTAATAATCTGAAACACACCTAAGAACATACATGCATAGGTGAATACGCACATTAACTTTAGTTTCTAGAACAGTAAATACTAGATATGATGTTGTGAACTCAAATTAGTGAACATCATCAATAAGAAATTGAAGACCGGAAACGGAACAGAACAAATGAATATAACATACATAGAACAGCTTAAAGCACAAAATATCTAGGCTTTTTGTAGGCATTTTACCACAATCCGTATTTTACTTAACATAGTCAACAAACTATCTGTAATTATAGCAACTAGGCCAAGAATTATTCCGTCTGAAAATTAAATCATCCATGAAACAGCATTCTAAATCATCATTAATAATAACAGAGACAAATTTGCATTTAACCAGAAAGTATAATCAGAATGAAATGAACAGTAAAGAAAGAAATGATAACTAATGTGTGTTTTTTTAAACTAGGATTTCTGTCATTTTCTTCTTATGCCTTCCTTCTGTTTAACACACTACTACTGCAGCTCATTTTCTTTCATTTTGATTCCGCTCAACTGAGATTTTTGTCTGTTTACCAAAATCATATGATTGTCTGTGTAGCAATGAACCAAACTACCTACATGTCTTTCCATCTATCTATCTATCTATCTATCTATCTATCTATCAATCTGTCTGTTTATTTTGTTAAGAAGATTAATGTCTTACTTTTAAGGAAAGATATCGGATAGACTCAGGTAGATAGAATTCTGTTTTTGTTGTTTTGTTTTGTTTTTTTGACTTCATAAACGCCTCAGAATTTTGTTTTAATTGATTTATTAATGTTTGTAAATGAAATAGACTGAAGCTTTTAGAAAGAACTGACTAATTTATTTGTCTGTTTTTCTTTGACTAAAATGCAATATAAAGTCAGGAAATAATGTGAATATTTTTATAATTTTTTTATTAACAGAATAAAATACTACTATTTGATGCTAATTTAGTGATGGTTTCATTAGGAAATAATGCCATTAGCTAATGTTTCGCTAAAATGTTTCGTTATACCTAATAATTTATAAAAAAAAGTAATTTGTTAATTGTAATTAATTAACGTACCACCTTGCAATGAACAATTTGCTCATCATCACTAAATGAAAAAGCTAACAAGATGAGAAATATCACAGTATATTGAGAAAAATCTTTTGAATTCAAATAAATTATTTTGAAAGATCATTTCTAGAAATGTCGCCTACTGTATTAGATATTAAGTTTATATGCTTCTATTGAAACCCCTAAGAACCCGGTACTAATTTGCTTGACAGACAATAGGAGTTTATTGGCTTACTATTCCATACTACAAACTAAGAAGTTGATTAGATCTTTGTCATTTTCAAAAATAACTTAACTTAGATCTACTGGTGATGACTACCATTTGCTAATTAAATGAATATTTACAAAACTCCTAAACGAAATATTTTGATAAGCATTTTGAACAAGTCGAGATTATGAAACTATCCAAAAAATGCATAGATTCCAATGAAGTTTGAAATAAAATCTATAGGAAAACATTGTTAGAGATGAATGAAATTGATGCAAATCATGTGTCTATAATGCAGATTGATCATTTTTTTAATGAATATCTTGTAGTTAAAGAAAACTTGTATTCTGTGGTATGATGTTGTAGACAAAATTGTGTTTTACTTCACAAATCCCAACAAAAAAGTACTAAAATAAAGTTACAAAGAAGCTTTCGCATAGAAATATTTCTAGTTTTTTTACAACTAACCAACTACTCAGATCCCTTTACACTTGATAAAGGTGACGGCGTTCTAAACGTAACTTACATTGTTGTTCTTAGAAATATCTTACAAAATTCTTATATTAAAGATTTTTGGGGACATTAAATCCCCAGAATTCACTTGATAAACGTCCTAATTTGGATTTTATGCTTTCGTGCATGGGCTGATCAGTTGACCTTGAGATTACACTTCCCACCAAGAAAATCCTTGACCGTTATTGGTTGATGTGCTATTTTAGTACGCTATTTTTGTGGCTCTCCCAAGGACGTTTCTACCAGGTATAAATAAAATCGATTTGTTTGCTTGAGATTATTATATTTTTCCGGGTGCTTGTAAAATACACTTTCTACGCCATATCAAGACTTCTGCTTCAGTTAGAAGGGGTAACAGTTTAGAATAGCCTATTGTGTCACTGTGTCATTGTCTCGTTCTCATTTATCGACTAAAGTGAACTCATAATAGTTTCAAGCATAACAAAGATATTTCAAAATTAAGTTGTACATTCTGTGTTAACATGTATTCTTGTTTAGAAATGAAAAATAATCGAATTCAAATAACTGCAATCAAAACACGTAGATTTCGGGATAAAATGAACTTCCTCTGAATTGATTGTTTTCATTCAAATGGTTGAATAATATTTAATGCCATAAAAATAGTCATTCAAGTCATTTCCGTCTATTATTTTATTATTTTTTCTCCGCATTCTGTTTTCTTTTCAATAGTTTTCGTAATCTAGTACCAGGTTTACCGAGTAAATTCTATTACAAATTAGAATCAAGTTCATCGCCAACATCGTCATCATCATCGGCATCAGCATCAGCTTCATCAATATCATCGTTCAATAAAGATGTGGAATTTCACAAAAAACCCAATTTATATCATGATTATCGTCAAATGTTATCGGATGAAGATTGGTATCATATACCGAATGGACAATTGGATTTCGATGAAAAATTTACCGGTGATGCGTTTGCTGATTTTAATACACAATTCTATCCGTAAGTCTAATTATGTCTAGACATGATTGTCATCATCAATATTTTCTGATCACAAACACTTGACAATAGTTATATTCAATAAAGAAACAAAAGAACTTTGATTACATTTATCATAGATAGAGTATTTTATTTTTCAGTCTCAGCGGTTACTAATGAGAAACTTTTTGGCGTTTTGATGAGGTTTGTTTTTTTTGTTAGCTTGGAAGTTTGCGAACTATATCAATTATATTCGGTTGAATAATCTAAAATATTTTCTAAAAATTGTATATAAATAATTCTGTATTAACTAACAAATGGCTTTTCCCATCTCGATACACAAATAAATATTATATATAGTCTTTGGTTGATTGATTAATCTGTCAAAATATTATTTTAATATCTTATTCAATAAAATGTCTGTATGTTTATTTTGATGTCAAATATTTAAAACTTATTTGAATGATTATATTATTTCAGGGAAATCAATTCATTCAACAGATAGGATCATCTAGCTATAGCCATATGAGTATTTCAATAGAATCTGTATGTGATCACAAGCTAAACTTTTTGTTTGAATAAATGAAGTGTTGAAAATCTTAAGCTTTTGCATTGCCTACTATTATTGAACATATAAATCAAATGGCGCTAGTTACGAAAAAATCAGTTTCAAGTGAAACAACCGTTTTAATGTGGTATGTATGCACATTTGAAGCTGTTCGATTATCGAACCTACCACTAAGATTATAAAAATGAGCCTTTAGTAAAACTATGGGTCTTGATTAATGGAATTCAATTCCTGTTGAGTGAGAGAGTAATCCCTCACAGCCCGTGGACGAAAGGTAACGCGAGATCATGGACTGATTAAAGTTAGACGTTAACATTGCTGAACACTGGCTCATTCGACCAGAGTGTGGGCGTTCACATACGAGTACCAAGGTCCTGGATTCTATTTCTGTGTGCAGAATTGTGGATACACATTGCTAATCAGTCCCATACTAGGATGAACTAACCATCCTGTGGTCTAATTAAAGCCAGTTTATGATTTCAGAAACTATTTAAACTTTTAATTATTCATCATTTCAATACATTTCAATTAACAATTTAATCATAATTTTATGCCAGACCAAAAATATCACTCGCTAATGAAAATGCTTGACGTTAAAACAGGTTCATTGACCTATTTTAATTATCATACTGATATTGATGTTAGTTAGTTACGATTACATACCCACCAACACACACACACACCCATACACATATGTATAACAAATATGTACTTGCATTAAAAAAAATACGGTTACTTTCACCTCTTGTTCTTCACCCATAATTACTGAAGATAAGAGGTGCATACAAAAAAAAATAACCAACTCCTTGTTACAATCAACATAATGTTAAAATAAGAATGAATGATTACTATTTTTTTAAATCTAAGTTGTTGTCAATATGTATTAGAAAATATGTGGAAATATATATATGTATATATATATATATATAGCAGACGAAAATAATATACAAAATATCTTATAAATATGAAATATACAATTATATTATAGCCATTAAGAACTTATTGTAGGTATAGAAAAGTTATTAAGCTGAAAGATATTCTACACATGCATATATATACATACAAAGTGTAATATAACAAGTGCATTCCTATCAAAGTGAATATTACACTTCGCATGTAGATATATATATATATATATATATATATATATATACATGTAGATATGTAAACTGTACAAGAATTTGCCTAAACTGCTTAAACTCCATGTCATAATAGCCTTTAGATATATTTTTATGTTCTATGAAAAAAGAAGTTGTTATAAAATATGTTGAACTGAATGATGAAATGGTGTCAAAGATACACTCACACTCACACACACACACACATATATATGCAAGTAAAATCATGTCAGTTCATCCATTGTTTTGAATTTCTTCACCATGATGTTGTTGTTGCATACTTCAGTTGCATTCTGATATTTATGCTTGTCAGATTAATTGTATTTTGTAATGAATTTTTCCCTAGGGTAGATAAGTTGATTTGTATTAAATGTTACTTGATAATAAAAATGCATTTTTTTATCAATAAAAGAAGTGAATGGACAAGTTCAGTCTGGCCAACAGCTGAAATATATATATATACATGTATATGCATGCACAATTAATTATCTAACAATCAAATCGAAAAATGCTTAGGCGGTAATTAGTATAACAAATAAAATTAATATTATGATGTATTATTATTATTATTATTATTATTTAGGCAAACTAAAAATAACTTGCTTGATTATTTCATGACATTTTCAGTTGTTTTTTTCTTTACATATCTAAAGAAATAATAATTAAGTTTGTAGAAGATCTACTGATATGTTATTATATTCTGGCAATAAGAATTTCAATAAAATACTAGTCTGATCTGGTATTTGTTAGGTGTAAACATGTCTAAATGAAATGAAATGAATGTAATACATTTGAAATCATCAGTTCATCATTGATAGATCACCAATAGAATCTTGGAAGCACTTGACTGTGCTTACTAGTGACTAGCTTCGTAGGGAATTCTAGGAGTTCTAGTGAGAAGAGGTGACCAGTGGAGTTCAACCCTGTCGAGTGTAGGTGGTAACTGACAAAGGCAAATGGGTGAGGTCGTGCAAAATCCCTCGATCAGTCAGAGTTAGGCACTAACACTGTTGGGTGCCGGCTCAGTGGTCCAAAGGTTAGGCGTTCATGCACAAGATCGAAGGTCCAGGATTCGAATCCTGCAAGGTGCAGAAGTCGTGGATACGCACTGCTGATTAGTCCTATACCAGGACGAAACGGTCGTCCAGTGCTTCCAGGTTTCTAATGGTGGTCTAACAATGACTGATTGATGATTTCAAATGTGTAAAAACAATAATCTCCATAACTCTAGTTTAAAAATGGATTTATTGCATAATGTTGGACTGAATTAACTAGTAATACCAATTATCAGTCAGAATAGAATAATTTTTACTAAACAGATATTTCAACCAGTTTAATATCTACTATACGATATTCGATAAATTTTAATCTACCTGAATTTCAACAAGATTTAGATAGGTACTATTATTATTAGCAATCACTTCGGTGTTATTATGATTGATTAACGTTTTGATCAAAAAATATAAGGTCATATAAAAATTATTCATGATGGATTAGAAAAATGTTTGTGTAATTTAATTTAATCGAATAGGTCTAGCTGACTTACTCAAGTCTATTATCCCTAATGGAACTGGAACTTAGACCACTGACCAGCGAATTAATTTTTCTGCTTTGAATTTCTACTGAGTGTGGTCGCTAACCCCATGCCCAACCGTCCTCCTGTATCCCTGCTTGGGACCGGAAGTAACCTCCGAAGGTCTCCAGACGGATTTAGGTCTAGACAAGACTTTTATTTTTATAGAATTTAATCATATTTGACCACTTATGAATTTCATCATCAATTATGCTGTGTCTGATTATACGTACATCTTAAATTCGGTCTGAAAACAAACCTGATATCTAAATCATTGACTTAAAATACTGAATGTCAGTTTACATGTTAATTCAAAATTTTTGACATTTTGACATAAATAATAGCTATCAGTTAGGCTTTGCAACTATTTCATCTCTTGCTGTTATATAGCATATCAGTTCCCCCATGTGTTCAAGCTAATAATATCGGTTAGCACTTATCAGGAGACTATCATATGTGACTGTTATCCAAATAAATCTCTATCAACCAATAAAATGTTCCCTTCATTGACATCGTACCCAAACATCATTTCTCATAGTCTCAAAGATAATCTTATTTTGATGATTCGAGAATTTATGGATACTTGACTCAATTAAATTTTTAGGTACTCTTTAGAAATCCGTGGAAATTCCTGAACTGTATTCGCAATATTTCATCCAATTTTACTCATATTTATATATTTATTACTTTCAATTCTAGAGAAGGAAATAAACGGTGAATGCGAAAATGGACATGTACTACATAAAACAAGATTACACAAAGACTATAGTTTTATTATTCTTCATACGTATTCATTTCAGCTATAGGGAATCAAACCTAGGACTTTCGGTCTCAAGCACCAATGCGAGACTCATAATATCAATGCAACTTAACAATCTTCACGAAATCTTTCATGAAAATATTGTTTATTTGTTTAAACTAGCACAGAGGATTAATATGCACAACCTTAAACGATATAGTTCATAAAGAAATGTGCGAATAAAATTGTATACAGCTTTTATTGTTATTCTCTCTACTTCTTAACAATCATAAAAATCTATTAGTAACTTTTAACAAGCATCACTTTTCAGTGATTGACACAAGTTTGATCTCTTCAGAAAGTCGTTGTAATAGCACAGTTCTTCATAAGTTATAAATCCATTTTAAAGTTAAAAGTAATTTACGAGGTCTACAGAGTTGCTTTCAACTATATCTTATGTTTCTCGGTTGAAATTGTAATTTTTTTCTTAGAAAAATCAATAAATGTTTCTTCTTTTTCTCATAGATTTGCAACAACTATAACAAAACGTAGTGGAATTCCTACAACAAATGATTCAAGTTATTATTTTCTAACATTGACACAAGTTCGATTATTATTACTACTATTAGATGCTATCATTATCTTAGCTAGATGTTGTCAAACATTTGAATTTATGCATAAAATTTGGTTTGGTGATATAAAATTAATGAATGCAAATCATTTATTACATGATTACAATGATAATTCACAATTCACGCTTGATTCATCCAATCATCCAATGGATCACCACTATCAATCACAACAAATACAACAAAAACATGGTACTACTTACAATGCCAATTATCATTATCCATCTTCAATTCAAATACGTTCACCTAAACATTTACATTTATCTGTAGGCTCTACACCATTCTTACATCCTGCATCATGTTCATCGAATTTACACGAATCTAATCATCATTCGGTTTCGAATGTATGTTCTGATATTTATTTTTTGTTTAGTTAAACTAGTTTTGTTTAGTTTTGTTTTGAAGTAAATAGGTGATGTATTCAGCGATAATTATTGATTTATTTTAGGTGGATTATAGTTGAGAAATTCATTCAAATATTTACTATCGATATCATATTTGCGATCAATGAAATGGTCGGCAAATTCGAATTTTTAAACGTAGGAGACAATAAGTTCTGATGAAAAAGCAGGAGTAATTGATTTATGTTTTATGAAATCAACCATAATTTGACTGATTCATCTAGTTGAACTCAACTACAAGAGTTTGTGAATTAATGTTTAGAATAAAATGATTCAATCAAATGTAATGATAGCTAAATTAGTCAAACCACTATATTTTTCAGTAGACTTTATTGAGTTAGTATAGTTAAAAACACTAAGTTCAGTGAAGGGTTCTTTTCGCAACGAATTTATTTTCATGTTGTACAGTAAATGATCTTTTGAATAATAATTTCATGCAAACATTGAAACGGTGAATAGACACGATGGTATGATAGAAGGGTTAGAATATTGAATTATTTAGTGTTAATAATTACTATATAAAACATTGTGCATGAAAATAAAAAGTCTTGTCAAATTAATAACTGAGCAACGAACTATAATGAGAATGAGATAAGATAACTAAAGTGTTTTTTGTCTCAACACTTGAGGGTAATCAATAGATTAGACGAAATGGCGTGATAACAGAAACAATTATGAATAAAAATCAGGAGGACATGAGAAATAATTAAAGAGGGAATTTTTTGAATATGAAAAAAATAGTAATAATTGAAGTCTTTTGTCAAAATAAAGATAAGTCATACTTCTTTTATCCAAGCAGTTCTAACCAGATTTCATGGAAAACAAGAGTTTTTATTGCTATATGGGGTTAAATATGAAGAAATCTTTGTAGATGTGAACTGATTCTATAAACAACATTGAAACTAACTTATGGATCAGTGGAGTGATTAGGGTAATTTAAATGGTCAAGAACAGAAAACCTAACCACCTTCCTCAAATGATTGTAGAGTCACACAAGAATCTGTTCTCATATCTAAGTTGATAGTGGGCACTGGTTACAGCTTACGTACCTTACGCTGAAAGAACGGAATAACTGATAATTGCACACAGAGGTGATTAGATGCGGGAATTTATCCTCTATGGATACCGTCAAAAACTTCTAATAAACAACATCTGTAGCACCTTTGTAGCATAGAACACTCATTTTATAATTGACCACTGGGTTTGATTACCCTTAAATTCCGGATTCATATAAATATATTACCCTGAGACAGAATTTAAAGTCTTTTTGTCCCGAATTCCTTCCATTTTCTATTTTACGATGCGGTTTGGACAACCGTTTCCCAGAGGATCGATTCGTTCATTACTACAGATTCTTCGAATACTATAACATAAACATTGAATATGTTCCTTCTTTTTGCTTAGTGAAACTCAGCTGCAAAGTTGGCCAGTTGGTTATTCCATGCTTTTTTCTCTGAATGGAGTTTTTTAAGAGTCCATCAGTTCTCAATGTCAGAAGCAGATCAAAAAAAGAGAGACAGAATGGCTTACTTTCTTTTCTGGAGTGAAATCTATGGAAGAATGGTAGTATGTCTTGAAGAAATTGTAAATATCAATGAAGTCAAAATTCTTGTACACATGTTTTTGATATAGGTTCATAATATTGTTGGCCAAACCAATTTGGTTGTTCTCGAACTTAGTCATGAAACAATCTGATGGGATTAGACAAACGGAGACCCCATTGTGACTATATCTTTTCGTCTGTGTGATCAGGTACAATTTCAGTTCATCCATCATTTAGTATTTGGTTTCATGTTTTCAGAATTGTGATTAATTCTTTATAGTTCTACAGTTCTACTCCTTTCTTTCTATACTTCAGAAGAATATTTCCAACAATTTAACATGGAATAAAAATGTCTCATTTACTAAACTGAAGTTTTTTACCACAGTTCTAGCGCATACTGAAGAAACAAATTTTTTCTCACTGGTTGTTCGTTAATAAAATCATTTTCAAAATTACACCAAGTTCGTTCCTATAGTCATTTGAAAAAGTTTGCTTCAGAACATACTAGACGCTATATGTATCTTTTCACTTTTGTTCAATTGTAGGAATTCCCTACATCAACAAGCACAAATTACAATGAAGCAGTGGTTACCAGTCAGACCATTAATATAAACGAATATGAACAAAAATCTTCTACAGGAATTAAAATTACTCAAAACGATCAATCAACATTAAATTTCGACAATGAAACTGGACGTTTTACAGCTTGCTATTGTTGTCTTGATGCTCATTATCTGCTAGTGATCACTGGTATTGGCTTATTATTTATTGGTCTCGTTTTAATATGGGCTACTGATAGACATGTACGACCAGGATGGCTTTTAGCAAAGTGAGTTGCATAATTTCACTGTTAGTTAACTAATCATTTCTTTTTGAAAAAAATATATATTGATTGATAGAAATCAACACGATCAATCTAAGTGAACGCAAATGATTTCAGTATGCAATTGTTTTGCTTTAAATCTGATTCATAAGTATGAATGAAATTAATTGAAAGTATTCTGTATTGGCAACTTGTTTGACAGTTTAAAGTAGTCGATAACACTAGAGCTTTCGACAAATATGTCAGTTGTAATCGATCAGTTCAAACAAGCAGTATAAATTCATCAGGAAGCTTAACTTATTATTTTTTTCTTTGATCTCTTTTATTGTACATCAAATAATTAAACTATTTTTATGAATCTACTACTATTTTGCAAACAAAATAAGTAGTTTAAATAAAAATTAAAATATTCTTGTACCAATAATAAGGTCAGAGTTTAAGTCAAAAAGTCAGCTAAACATATCTTAAGACTTATATCATCTTCATTAGATTAGAGTTTGAATAAACTCCATATATTCAATATAATCAGATTTTTAAAAAATGATTAATGTCTATTACACTCGAATTTCTTCATAAATCTTACCTTAATCTGTGAGCGATGAATAGATTGTACATCAATTAACTATATAAGTAGACCAGTAAGACAGAGTTATAACGAAGTTTCAGTTGATTTAATATGAATTTAAATCAATAAATTGAAAATAATGATTAGTTATTTTTAAAAATTTAATTATCGATTAACAGTAGACTCAAAACTTACCGCTGACAGCTAAAGGTTTAGATGTTAGTCGGTTACATAAAATGATCACCAAACCATAACAATCAAAATCTAGCACTCAATCCAGTTCACAGTAGTTTATTATACAACTTGACAAAGTAAATACTTTTCTTGAAAGCTAAAATTCAATCTATCTCTACTGTATAAGCTAACAGAAAAGAAATGATATTCATGAAACCTACACGTAGCGGATTCAACATTATTTCAGTTAACTGATTTACAAATTAAATATCTTTGTTAAATATTCTATTGGAGAAAAATTAGTTAATAACTTTTCACACATATATCATTTACAGTAAGGATAGATTATTTACAATCTTTTCTGGTCTATCTATTTTTGACGCAGAAGTTGAGAACAGTCAAATCATTATAGTTTGGCATTTTGTCATGTTAAGTATTTTTATTTTGTACCATGTCTTTCTTGTGATAGGTACAAGTGTTGTTTTGTTCAATAAGTATAAAAATGATCGTATTTGATTTATTTACCTAATCGATCACATAAAACCTCAAGTTGAAGAGATACTCACTAAAATAGAAAATAAACCTGTATACATGTACTTAAGTGTGTGTAAACAATTCTCATACAACTTGAATTATTCACTGAATTCATGAAAAAAGTAAGGAAAGTCAAACAAATAGATTATAGGAGATAAATCATTGAATAATGACAAAAGCATTGAATGATAAGAAAATGAAGTAGGTTCGATGAAAAAAAACAAACAAACTTTTTGAACAGATTAAAAACTGAAAACTGTTAGAACAAGAACTATCACAGAAATAACAATATCAAATCAGATAGAAATAACTTTTTTTAATAAATAGATACCTAGAAAACCTTAGCAAAACAAATAAGTTGAGACAGAAAAAAGTAACTATAGAAGATAAAAATAGGAACGGTGATATCCAATGGAAATTAAGATGTTCGATAAACTAGTATGGCCAAAAAATTGATTTCATTCAACAACAACATTAACTTTCAAATACTTTATATCTTGGTTATCGCTATTAGAAAAAACATGATATGAAAACCTTAAATTATAATAACAAGTGAATACAAAATAATCGTTCAGTGTTTGAAAAATGGTACAAAGAATCAATGCATCTAAGGATTATGTTACACATGAAGTAAAATATGCCCGTTCATAGGATGAGAGAATACCTTGAATGTTAGTTTATTAAGGATGTAAGTATTAAAACTATTTTTCAATCAGAGTTCTTGAGATTAATGTTTGTTGCACATTGAAATCATCAGTCAATCATTTTTAAACCACCTTTGGAAACCTGGAAGCACTGGACGACCATTTGCTCCTGTTGTGGGACTCATCAGCAGTGAGCACCCATGACTCCTGCACCTCGCAGGACTCGAACCCAGGACCGTCGGTGTTGCTCGCGAACGCTTAATCGTTGAACCTCTGGGTCGGTACCCGACAGTGTTAATGTCTAACTCTGATTCATCTATAGATATTATTATAATTATTCCTAATCTGTGAAACTGTCTGATGCATGTAAAAAAAAAATTAAAAACCACTTTACACTGTGTACAAATGTGGAATAAAATTATTACTTAAGCTGTACAGTTAAATAAAGTTTTTACTGAAAGTAATATATATATATATATATATATACATATTCATTTAGGCAAAGCTGAGAAGAGCACTTTAACACCTTTTTGTAGCATAATTTATGTAGCATATTTCAATAGTTATTGTTTTACTTCATTTCAAACCTATCTTTGGTTTTTTTAACTCTCAGACTTAACTCCAAGATTTCTTAACTTATCAGTAAAATGTAACATAGAACCTGAAATATTTGTACATCTACTCAAGTTGCTACAATACATTACAATATTGAAATGAAATTGTTAGCTCAAATCCAAGAGTACTAGAGGCAGTAACTTAATTAACAGTGACAGAAAAGATTAGGCATCCTAGGTACAATTCAACTAACTAAATCATAAAAAAAATTTATGAGGAAGTTGAAAACTTTCATTTGAAAACTTTGGAACTAAGAAGTGAATTAACCTTCTCTATTAGGAACGATTCTAGATTCTTACGTTCAGTGTCTCTTACCATCAGTTAAGATAAACGCGCAGACCTGAACTGATAGTCTGCACCTACCTATACTACTCAGTCTTCATGAACTGATATCACATATTAGTTTAGCCACTCCTGAATCCCTGTACACTTACTCTTACATCTGCCATCATCGCACGTCAAGGTAGTTGGCGGATTGTATTATTCATTTCTGGTTAGGGTTTTTTTGGCAAGTTAGTTTATAGTTGGGATGGGGGCACCAACCGCATGTCCAACCCCTCCTCCTTTATCCGGGCTTGGGACCGGCAGTAGCCCTGAAGGTTCTACTGGCGGGGTTGTATCATTCAATACAAGTCCTAATAATCTCGGTCGATAAAGATTCACTGTTTTACTTAGTATTATGCATCAAAACTCAGAATTTCCGACTGAATAGTCATAAAGTATACTCTGACAATGTACCAGTTAAGTTATGTGTAATCATTCATTTACCAACTTCTCTAAATTTGAATTTACCAAGTTTCGCTACCGAAATTAATTAACAAAATAACTTTAGAGAGAGTATTATTTCTTTTACTACTCACTTTTAAATTATTTATAACTAGTGACAAATAATGAATGAGATTCTATTTGACATTATATGAGTTTTGCCTATTGAAAGATTTCTTACAATTTTGAAAAAATATATATATATATATTTTGTACTGTTGAACAGAAGTCATTATTTATATTTCTCAATTATTATATATCTGGTTAGCTTTTTTTTACGAAGTCTAGAATTAATTCAGACTTGTCACTTTGCGTATATATTTATATATACATATAATATACATATATATTCCTGCTAAATTCAAACGTCATATGACAGGAATACTTTGATTTATTTGCGAATTGGCATTTATTAAAAAAAACTATGAACGTTTCTGTGAACATATTTTTTGATAAAAATTGAATTCATTTCATATTTGCCATTTATTATTAAGTCATGAGTGGTTATCGTAAAAATTAATATTGATTTGTGAATTAGAGAAATGTGAAAGTTTCAAAAATTAGGTTTAGATGGATAAAGTTACTCGGCTGAGTGTACAGTTTGTTTTCGATGAGAGTAGACAATCTACCAGAGTACGTACATTTGAAAAGCATTGAATTTTGAATATTGTAAGTTTTGTAATCATCATATTACTTACTGTTCGGTCAATTCTTATCAGATGCATATTTATCTCATCTCAAATGTTAGGAGCAGCAATAAGTAAGTAGGTTAGATTGTCTATAAATGATAAAGTCCATCTAAAAATGAAAAGATTTGTTTTACTACAAACTTTACTATTCAAAAAATACCGACTATATATCTGTGGTTAGAAAAAAAAATCAAGATTTTATCCGACAAGATCAATTATCCTCAACTCCCGTATTTATTGAACATCCCTCCCTATATCTGTATATGAAACAGGCCTACTAGAATAGTAAATAATGCTTAGCTAAAATTTTACTCTCATACTGTTGCCTAAAATTTTCAAACAGACTACTTTTTTTATCATAATATTCGTAAAAATGAAAAAGGAAATGTTTTTCTAACAAAAGAATTTGAAACAAATTGTGATAACGTTTGAGCAGAATATTGAATTCTATAATCATATTCGTTAGATGTCTCAACTCATGGGTAATAGGGAGTTATTGATTTAGATCCTGTTTCTTTCAATGTTTCGTTAAGCTTGTTTAGCGAACATAATGAATATCTTTTACTGTCCTCTGGTATTCAGTTAAAATGGATTTAAATATCTTTTAAAATAACTAGTAGCTAATATAAAAGACAAGTAAAGTTATGATCAAAGTTTCAAACGTTTTGAATGATGAAATGTGAACTAAGTATGCATAAAGATTACTGATAATCACGTGATTTGACATTAGAAAGTTAAATGACTTTCATTTCTGTTAGGTAGCCAGCTATCAAAGAGAGAAAGAGAGATTGAAGTGAACGGAAAAGTTATTTGCATATTTTACTTCCTTCTCTAATAAATATTCTTAATTATTTTTCGTTTCGACTGATCATACTGATCTACCATTTACGTATTTCTTTATTCCGATTGTCTACTTTCATACTTACTTACTTGCCTGAATATATGATAAGTGATTGTTTGTTAGTACAGTGAAATGAATGTGACTGATTCAAGTTTAAAATCTTTGTAGATTTATGTATG